CCACTCCCCTCTCGAAAAGTTTTCTCAGTCATGATTTTTCCATCCACTTTTAGTTTTCAATTCTAATTAATATTTTCATTCACGTCAATGTAATTGTTTTATTTTCTTTATTCACAATAATCATATTATCAATTATAAGTAATATATTATTTAAAAGAGCTATATAAAGCATTTTTAAAGTCATCTAAAAAGTCATGGAAGATAAGGGTTCTAAAGAGAGCTAAGGACTCCCACCCAACCCAATGTCAATGCTAATTTTATTGTGGTACTTGAAATGTATAATTCGTAAATCATGTCGATATTTATACCTCATCATTATAAATTTTTATCGATTATTATCTGAAGAATCACATTTTATTTAAAATGAAGGATCTGATTTATGGCTATCAATTTTTTCCGACTAAAAATGGCCGAAATATTTTCGACTGATGAGAGTTAAACGCTAGTTGATATCTTTTTCTTTAAGCACACACAAGCAAAAACAATTACATTCAATGCTTCTATAAATACCAAGGATATAAATTCAACGAAATCGTTCTTAAATAGCTTTTTAATGGAAAGCAGCATTTCTAGAATTTTGACAAACACTGATTATAGGTAAACACTTTTTTTAATGTAATTCTATTATATGAAACCTAACACTCTATATATTATAGCTGTATTAATAAATAAAAATACTTAATTTCAGTTTCACTGTAAATGTTCAGTAATTTCTGAAAAAACATCAACCAAGATATATAACTGAAGAAAAGAAACCTTTAAGTTCATCAATGAATTTTAAATAAAAGAACTTTCTCAAGGTATTGAAATTTACACTGACATTATTTTCAGAGACATTTTAATGTAAATAATCTGAGTATTTTACATTAAGTGTAATATATTAATCACATCATTAATTATATTTAAACGATTACATAAAATAAGTTTGATATAAGTATTAAGTTGGTATCTTAATGCTATAAACTGAATGAAAATACACGCGTATGACCGCAGAAAAGTAATTCCAAGAATTATTAATGATGCTTAAATATAG